AGTAGCGCCTGACGGTCCCTAGGTAGGCCGCCGACGCCGCCGCATGTCCGCAAACGACACACTTGGCGGTCCCCGCTGGGATTAGCCCTCCGCCGGTTCCCCGAATCGGCCGTCGGGGTACCGCATGTCCGCTAACGTCCATCCTGACCCTCGGGCCCAGGCCATGTCCGCTAACGTCCATACGCCCTCGCTTAGATATGCCACTCCTGACTCCTCGCCAATGTTATGATAGGCCCGCCACCATTGGCCCGCCCCGCCCGCCCGCCGTGACGCGACGAAAACGCACCGGACACGACGCCTGCTGCCGGCTTCAGCCACGGACCAGACCAGGAAGCCGCGTCGTCCTGATCGGCGTGCAGTTTTTTCTCTCTTTTGTAGGGGGGGGGGGGGGTTAAGTCGTTGGACGGAGGCGGTTCTTGCATTGTAACGAATTCGACGACGGCTTTCATCATCCGTCGTCAGGTGTGCGATCGAGTGCCGTCGTCCGTTTCGCCGAATCGTGTATTGGCGCTTTATTGGGTCGTTGGCTCTGCAAAAAATAGACCGATAAAGGGGGAGAGTAAAACCTCTGTAAACTAATAAGCCCATTTTGTCGCGGCATGCTTTTCTAGTATTTAAGGATATCGAGTTACCCAGGTTTTAATTTTCCCTGAAATTTCGGTATTAATCCAGTGAGGCTCTTCATTTTTAAGATATAAGGGCTGCGCCAAGTACGCAACTTAGTTGTAGGTTGTTTTTTCTTACCTTACTCGGCTTGTCGTTTGAACCGGACAGATGCGCCAATGCCTTTGTTTATGTGGCATTGTGTTTGGTCGTGTCTGTGTCGCCCCTGGACCCGTTAGGGCCAATTACGGGCAGCTCGCGCACGACCGAACCCCGCCTCTGTTCTGTTACTTGCACCTTGGTCTTGGTCCACCGCAAGTAGCGAGTAGCTAGACAGCCGCTTCCGCTCGGAAGCGAATCGACGGTTATTTACCCGTAATCGCAATAAATGAGGTGGCGGCGGTCCGAGGTCGAGGAAGAGAGTTCACAGGGTAAGGGGTTCGCCTAATCAGCTTATCAGAGTGGCGCGCGCGGCCACCTTGGCGTGATGCGGGCCCGTGTGTCATAGTGCCGTGACACTGGCTTCACACGCCACGCGCACTGTGTGTGGGGGGAGGGGGGAAGGGCGATACCGCCACAGGCTTTTGGAATTCGCGCCACCTTGACGGCCGGCAGGGCTGAGAGGGAATCTACCTCGTTTGTTTAAAGTTGCTACAGAATTCACATTTTAATGTGTACCTTGGCTACTTCGATCAAGTTGTTCGGGGTGGTGAGGAGTTCACGAGTGCTCTAGAGAAAATCGACCGAGACGTGTGATTTAACGGAGTTTTTATTTATTTTTCAGTTCATCGCCGGTCATTGATCAGATGATAAAATCCATCAACGCCATGCCTGCACCCGATCGCTCAACGGGCGCCACAGTGAGTACTATCTCGTGAACATTACTCCTAAATTTTGTAT